TTCATTAAGATCTTTTAAGGGCTAGAGAGATGGCTCACTGACTGCTCTTCCAGAAGTCCCGAGTTCAATTCCCAGCAACCACATGGTGGCTCACAACCACATGTAATGGGATCCGATGCCCTCTTCTGGCGTGTCCGAAGAGAGAGGCAGCGTACTCCCATATATAAAATAAATAAATAAATCTTAAAAAAAAAAATAAAAAAAGAAAGGGAAATGTCTCCCGTAAACTCAGGGGTTTGAACAGAATGATAGCATACTCACATACATACACAATATAAAATAAGACCTTTTAAAAATGAATCAGAACCATTTTCTTAATTTTTTTTTTTTTTTAGTTATTACTTACTTGAGTGTGTGTTTGTGTCTGTGCAGGAGGGGGTCATTGGACCCCTCTGAGCTGGAGTTACAGGCAGCTATGTGCTGCCTGACGTGGGTGCTCGGAATCAAACTCAGGCCCTCTGCAAGAAGAGTATGTGCTCTGTGAGTATTGAGCCATCTCTCAAGCCCTCTCTTAAGATCGTAATAGTTTGTTTTTTTAATTTAATTTCTGTGAATTAAAATTTTGTTTTTCATTTATTTTCTTTTTGTTTTCCCCAAAGATTTACTTACTTGAGACACAATCTTACTGTGTGTGCATTTCTGACCTGCAACTCTCTATTTGGACCAGTCTAGCCTTTAAAAAAAATGTGTGTGTGTGTGTGTGTCTGTCTGTCTCTTTGAGTATGTGTATGTGTGTCCGTGTGTCTCTGTGTATATGTGTTTGTGTCTCTGTGATTGTGTCTTGCTGTGTGTGTCTGCGTGTGTGTCCACGTGTGTGTGTGTATGTGTGTTGCGTACAGGCATCCATATGCTCACAGAGGCCAAAAGAGGGAGTTGGCTCCCTGTTGTTGGAATTACTTAAGTTGACGTTTCTTTTGTAATTTTCCTTATTGTTTTAAGTTTAGGAAATCCCTTTCTAAGTCCACAGACCAGAGAGGGGTTCAGAAGGGCTCTACTCCACCTTTCTCTTTCTGTGTCAGTTCTCTTACAATTTATTTATTTATTTATTTATTTACTTACTTATTTATTTATTTATTTTGTTTTTTTTGAGACAGGGTTTCTCTGTGTAGTCCTGGCTGTCCTGGAACTCACTCTGTAGACCAGGCTGGCCTCGAACTCAGAAATCCACCTGCCTCTGCCTCCCAAGTGCTGGGATTAAAGGTGTGCGCCACCACCGCCTGGCGATTTATTTATTATGATCTACCTGGTCGTTAGTAAAATAGAAAACTTCCCTCAAATCTAACAAACCATTTACTGCCTCTTCCTTCCTTCCTTCCTTCCTTCCTTCCTTCCTTCCTTCCTTCCTTCCTTCCTTCCTTCCTCCTTCCATCCTTCCTTCCTTCCTTCTTTCCTTCCCTCATTTTTCGATACCCTGTTTATCGTGCAGTTACATTTTTATCGTATTAGGCTGTTATACTAAGATACGATGTTGAAATCGCCTTCCCATTCTTTCTCCCTCTGACCTATTCTTTTGAGGATCTGCTCATTTGGAACTCTCTTCACAATCTTGCTTCTCTTTTGGCTATATCTTTCCCCCTTCTGTTTTCAATCTTTATTTTTGATGTTTCCAGAATTAAAAAAACAAAACAAAACAAAAAACAAAACCTTAATCCCCATGTGAGTACTAGCAGCCGGCTGCCCTGTTCTTCCCTCCACTGTCTTCTCTGGAATCCTTACTGAGATGTCTTCATTGTTAAATTAGGACATTTGGGAGATAAGCAAAAACCCAGAGAAGAACATAATTAGTCTCATCACTTAAATATACTCTGATATTGGCAAATGCTGTATGATGGAATACATTTATTACAAGTTATATAGAGTATGGGATATCTTGTGTATGCACATGTAAAGTAGGTATGTGTATTTTAAACGCGCACATCCTGTTATATGCCTTAAAATTTCATTTTAATTCCTTTTTTTTTTTTTTTTTTTGTTTTTTCGAGACAGGGTTTCTCTGTGTAGCCCTGGCTGTCCTGGAACTCACTCTGTAGACCAGGCTGGCCTCGAACTCAGAAATCCACCTGTCTCTGCCTCCCAAGTGCTAGGATTAAAGGCGTGCACCACCACTGCCTGGCTTCATTTTAATTCTTTTAAGTGTATGTGTGTTTAGGGGTAGGGAGTGTTTGGGTGCCAGTGGAGTCAAGTAGATGGAGGTCAGGGGACAACCTGTGGGAGTCCCAGGGATCAAACTCGGGGCTTGTCAGATTTGGAGTGCTCTTAACCATTGAGCCACCCCACCAGCTCTGCTTCCTGCTTTTGGCTTGCAGTTATTTCTCCTCTTTTTGTTTGTTTGCTTCTTTGGTGCCGGAGGTTGAAACGATGGCCTCAGGCACACTAAATAAACAACAAGCTGACCTCTTTATCTAGATTTCTAGCCCATATTTCATGTTTTTAAATATTCCTCTGTAGTTTATCTATAACTTGTTGTATTTTTTGAGGAGAGGTGGCTGTGGTTTGAGAGGGACTCTCATGTAGCTTAGGCTGATCTTGAATTCACTATGTAGCTAGCGCTAGTCTTGAACTTCTGATTATGCTACCCCTGCTGTATGAGTATTATATTACAGGCATGTGTCCCTGTACCTGGCAAAGTTTTCAAATGGTTCTGATGATACTCTATGATCCTTACCCTAAGTTAAGTTCTAAAATATAATGCTATTGTCTTAAAAATGATTGAATTTCAGAACAATAATAAAAGCCAAACCATCTAAATTGTATCAAGGCACCAATATGCATAGGTGCTTTTAAAAGCTGTCAGTTGTTGCCAAATTTCATATGTAAACGTTGAATAAATAAAATTAGAGAGAATAGATCATACCCTTCATGTTTTCTAAGGAACCTGAAATCTTAGACTCCTTGTGTCTTGTACAGTTGGTAGCTTTCAAGTTCCTTGAAGATAAAAAAAGAGTCTAGCATCACTGTGGCAGAACAAATGAGTTAGATGCTGAATAAAAATCTGGCATCAGCAGCCACTGTTGCTGTTTAGTCAGAAGCCAGAGAGGGTCATCTTGCATCTGAAACGATTGCTTTTAGGCCTATAGGCCCAAGTCTGGAGACTGTAACTAGGACAAGAGTAAAAACTGTTCAGGAAGGTGGCCGATTTAAGCCGCAGCTCTGGACAGAAGGATGGGGTGGTGATGACAGTACACATCTGGAAAGTACACATCTGGAAAGTACAGACAAGCGCTTTAGATCTGCCTTCCCGTGGATGCAAGCCACGGGATTCACAAATTACCAGCCTCTGGGGAGCTGAGAGGTATGGGCTTTCTTATGGAAAAGGTCCTGAATATTCATATGGTTTGCCTCCTCAGGTTCTCAAGGCTCAGGGAAGTATTCAAGGTGCCTTTGTTTACTACTTGGGGAAAGAAGGGGAAAGGAATACTACCAAGGAGTTAGGAAAATCACTGTAGCTATGCCTCTTGATTCTTGTTCATTTATGGAGACTCAGATAGTAGAGCCCTGTCACTTAAGGAGTACTCTGGTAGCCAGTCCAGTGTCACTGAAATGATTAGCCCAGAGGGGAAGCAGTGAGTGGCAGTGTTAGAAAGGACTGTTCCCCCAGGGGAGAAAGTCTTCAGGAATAAGGACTCATTTTGGACTTCTTGTTTAAAGTTTATACCAAAAAAGATTGAGGTAACCCCAAAACATCCACATATATCTTCATAATTGTTTTCCTATGTACTACAAGTAAATATTATTTTTTTCCTTTTTGAATGTATCTCGGTTAAGTGTTTTCATAATGAGATGATTTTAATACAAATATGTAGTATTTAATTGATGTCAGTGTATAAGACTGCATTTTTTTTTTTTTACTAAAAACATGTAAACACAAAATTGAAAATTAAAAAAGAGGGGCAGAAATGTTGGTGCTCTGTTTCTGTTCTATGAATCTTGCAAATCTGTTTCTCTTCTGGTTCTGGTATTTGTTGATATATATGTGTGTGTATATATTTCATATTCTGTGATTCTCAGCCTTCCTAATCCCGTAACCCTTTAATACAGTTCCTTATGTTATGGTGTCCCCCCCCCCCCCGCTGTACAATTATTTTTGTTGCTGCCTTATAACTGAAATTTGGCTGCTGTTATGAATCATAATGTAAATATCTAGCATGCAGACTCTCTGATATGTGACCCCTGTGACAGGGTTTGTTTAACCTCCAAAGGGATCATGACCCAAAGGGGAGAACTGCTGCTATACAGGAGCCAGTGACAGCCTTCTAAAACACATTGTGAAATGAAAGTGCGAAATGTCGCACGAGCAGAATATGCCCCATGAGAACAGGGAGCCTTGCTGTTTATCTACTTCTGCATGCCCAGCACCAGGTATAGATAGACTTGTCTTCATAGGCAGAGGATCAATAGTTGGGAATGAAAGTACAGGCATCCTTCCCATCTCTTTGGAGCTATACAGTGCCATAGCGTTTATTTCATGGCACTTTCTGGTCTCTCCTAGTCGCTATCCTGTGTTGCATTAAGGTGGGTAATGAGTTGGAAAATCTGGTGACATTTGCTAACAGGAATGGAAATGCTCTATTTCATAATTCATAAATTAGTCCTGAATGTACTCTTGACATGTGTGACCTTTGCGAATTGTTCAGCTTGGGTGAACATAGTTTCCATAATGGCTTATTTTACGTATTCTTTTTGAACAAGGAAAATCTCTCGGTAAATGATCCAAGCTGTAAGCCAGCTGGGAAGAGCATGGCCGAGATCACTCAGGCCAAGCATGTGGTGAGGACTGCTTGCCAGCTGAGTGGTGTCCTCTCTGCAGCCCACACATACATCTTTCCCCAAAGAGGACTGGTCTCACTTGGGCCCTCATCTTCGGAGTATCTCATAAAGAATTGAATTCTCACATAATCAAACCTTGAATGCCCAGACACCTCTGTAGCCATCCCTAGAGAGTACTGTTGCCATTAGAAAAATATACTAATTTATACTATGCTTTTTTTTTATTTGATCAGGTAAGAAAGCTCCTGTTTTATTTAGTAAAGAAATGATCGAGTCCATGAAGGAAGGCTCAGTTGTTGTGGATTTAGCTGCTGAGGCCGGTGGAAACTTTGAAACGACTAAGCCGGGAGAACTTTATGTTCATAAGGTATAGCAAGAAAGCATCTCTTGCCTCTATATTCTGATATTTAGTGGTTGGTAAGGTTTAAAAACTGTTTTTTACTAGTCCTTTGAGAATTCAATGCACACATATATTGTATTAGATCATTTTGACTCTACAGTCCTTCCTCTAGTGCTTCTTGGGACCTATTCCCATACCCTAATTGAAGGTTTCCCCACTCCTTTAAAATGCCTTTTTTAGTGCTGGGAATCACACCCAGGGCCTCATGAATGCAGACAAGTATTCTTCCACAGAGCTGTACCCTAAATCCTCAGTAAGGGCTGTATATTCCCTTAAGTATTTGGAAAAATTGAAGTCTGAAAGTTTAAAAATAAAAATCGTGAAAAAGATTTAAAAAATGGGAATAATTAAAGCTCATTTAAAAAGGTGTGTTTATGTTTGTAAGTATATATATATGTATATATATATATGTGATATATCTACAAAAATAGGTACTTTCTAAATGGGGCCTCAACTGTGCATGAGAATTATTCTAGAGAGAATGGAAGTGTAGGGAATTGACCTTTGTGACAATATGCCTTTTCTTCTAGGGAATTACTCATATTGGCTACACAGACCTTCCCAGCCGGATGGCCACTCAGGCTAGCACTCTCTATTCCAACAACATCACCAAACTTCTGAAGGCCATCAGCCCCGACAAGGACAATTTTCACTTTGAAGTGAAGGATGACTTTGACTTTGGTACCATGAGTCACGTCATTCGAGGGACAGTGGTGATGAAGGTAGAGGTCTCCTTCTTCCTGTGTTCTTACTGTAACCTGGACTTGGGACTTCTGTCTTTGAACAATTCCATTATGGAATAGAGAGGTGTTTGAACAAAGCATTGGCAGGTCAATGGAAATTGTGTAAAAACAGAGAGGGATTTAAGGGAAGCATTTCAAAGACCCAAGTATGTATGAATCATTGGAAACACACATCACTTTTGAAAACCAGGGGCAGAAATTTAATAAAGTAAAAATGAATTGTTCTTCCCATGTACTTACTTTTCAGGGTTTGAGCAGTATTCTTCTATATTCGCTCCAGACATATAAGAATTCCAGGTGTGCAACCCAAACATTATTCACTTATATATACATTTTGTAAATTATATGAATTTCTATACATTAAAGTTAAATCTACAGGTTTTCAGCATGCACTGCCTTCTGTAAGTCATTTTGAAATGCAATTTGACATTAAAAAATATTATTTCCTAATATTTATTGGTTAGGATGGCAATGTGATTTTCCCAGCTCCCACACCAAAAAATATTCCCGAAGAAGCCCCAGTCAAACAGAAGACCGTGGCTGAGCTGGAAGCGGAGAAAGCAGGCACTGTCTCCATGTACACGAAGACACTGACGACAGCATCTGTGTATTCGGCAGGTGAGGACCACATTTATTAAGACCTAGCACTAGTTGAGTTTTGTATGTAGTATGTTTAATTAGCACGATAAATAATTGGACTACTGTTGCTACTCTTTGGATTCTATTGTATTGGACCTGATAGGTCTGACTTTACCACATGTTACCTGTCCCTCCTCTGTGGACCTGGAGACCACAAATGATTATCCAAAATAACTCGGGCACTGTATTAAGTACTGGAGTGAAGCATGAAATAACACATAGGGTATTGATACATCTTATAGGAAACATCTTCTGTATAGTCACCAATATTACCTATATCAAAGCTATTGAGTCACAGTGAGTGTCGCGGTGTGCTGGGGTTAAATGTAGGTAAGTCTGTCTGAGGTCTTTTTGTGCTTTGTAAGCCATTAGCTGTAGCGATTATATAATTGGATAAGACCGAGGAACCAAATGCTCGTTTGAATTATAAATAGTATGAGGTAAAAGATAGCCTTGCATCTTAGACTAACATTCTAAGTTACCTACTAAAAAGGTTTAATATTTCAACTTTGATTTCTTTCTTTATAACTGACTACAAGTTGTTTCAGGTTCATCTTTGTGAAATCACTGAAGAATTACCATAAAGGAGTGAGACATATTTGTTCTGACTGTGTACTGCCAAGATGCGGGTTTTTGATTGGAAATTGCTTTCTTCCTCATAGAAGGAATTAGATCTGCTTAGCGTCAAAGCAAAAACAAAACAAAAGCAAACTCTAGCGAATTAAGGGAGCAGCAGCAGGCACACAGGATTCTTGTAGGCTCAGCATTCCCTGAATTCCCATGTGAGCCCAGATGTTTTAAAGCCATATGTGTAACTCTCCTTGAATAAAGAACAAGGCTCAGCAGGATGTCTGAATAGCTTCTGCTGGTGCTCAATGTGAGTAGACAGGGTAGTGTCCCTACGTGCACTCGCTTGTTTTAAAAAAAAAAAAGAAACAGAATGATTGCATTGTTCATGGGTGTTTCCCAGGCAGGACTTCAGATTTCCATTTCTCTTTGAGATGCAGAAGAAAGGGGGCAGGGCATATATGATGATTTATTTTTTTTAGGGTTCTGTCATACTTACTGAGGCGAGGGATTTCTGCTAGATAATTAAAGAGTTGGTAAGAAAACCTACCAACATGTTATAGTCTCTGTGGCTTTGCCCGACATGGGGCACCGTGTGTTTTACTGAGTTGGTACTTTCTGATCATAAGATCAGAATAGAGGCTAGCATTTAACAGGCATCAGACATTCTGCTCCATGCTTCATGTACCTCAGCTCAGTTATGCCTTAGAAAAGCTTAGTAATGGGGGAATACTATTATAATCTTTTTAAAAAAAGATCAAGACACAGAGGGTTAATAATGTTATGGATGAGGACACTGAAGAACGGAAAGCTACATAGCTTGTCTACAAATAGGCTACTAGCAAGCAGCAGAATGAGGCCTTAAATCACTCAGTCTGACTTAACAAAGTCTGACTAACCATAGCTCTATATAATAGAGTGTCTTCTCATTAACTGGAAAGCCAGAAAATTTTATCTGGCTCTTCTCCAGAGGTTCAACAAGCCATGTGTTAGAACTTTTGAAATACTATGAGTAGGAAACTCTACATTAAGAAGAGGCAACTTGCTGGGCGGCAGGGCGGCACACCTTTAATCCCAGCACTGGGGAGGCAGAGACAGGTAGATGTCTAAGTTCAAGCCCAGCCTGGTCTACATAGTGAGTTCCAGGACAGCCAGTGCTGTCTTGAAACACAAACAAACAAACAAAAACAAATGGTCATCTTAAAGTAAAATTAATGTCATTTCATGGCTGTTCATTCAGCTAAGCTACTGATAAGGTATTAGGTACTGCCAAGAAACCAAGGCCTCTCCTTCAGGAAAGGGCTCTTCTGACCCCCCCGCAGCCCAGTGTTTCTGTTTTTACTGACCACTAGGTAACCCTTTCTTCTGCTGCAGAGCAGCCGTCCACATGTTTGTTATTAAGGAAGGTGATAATTAAAGATGTATGTTCGGAGCGGACTGTTTGTATTCTGCACATTCTTAATTTAATTTGTAGTTTTTCCCCCCTTGCTTTTCTCTGTAAAACTCTGTTTGCTGACTTGGTGTTGAGGCTGGAGCTGACTGCCCTGGCCAGCAGTCCAGTCCAGATTCAGGGGCAATTGCAACATTTCTGTCATGGGCTGGGTGGGTGGAAGCCATATGTTTTGGGGAGGTGCTGGAGTGAATGAAGTCCTTCCTGGTCTTTGAAAAACCTCTCTTTCTCAGCCACAACTGAGAGTGACATGAAATTGGCCTCATAAAAGTCCTCTCTTGTAAAGGTTATATCCCGCCTGAGTAGCAGGCACTCTGTAGCTCTTCTGTAGGCCTGTAATTCTGGAATAAAAATGCTTGTGTAAACACATGTGATCCTGCCAGTAAATGGTAAAAACAGAGACGAGGACAAAGTTAGGCGTGGGGAAATGCACATTTTTTTTTTTTGAGGCAGGGTTTCTCTGTGTAGCTCTGGCTGGCCTCGAACTCAGAAATCCACCTGCCTCTGCCTCCCAAGTGCTGGGATTAAAGGCGTGTGCCACCACCGCCCGGCTATGTGCATGTTGTTAAGAAGGCGACTCATAAATGTTACTAGATCTTTGCATTTTGCTTTGGGGGAGTGGTCAGAAAGGTAGATTTTTTTGTCTATCATCTCCCTTGCATCTTAATGGTCAGGTGTCTTAAAGGTCTGCTCATCATTGGCAGAGAAAAGAATTTAACACACTATTCTTTAGTGTGCGTATTTGTATGAGTATGTATTTCTAATTTTTTTGAGGTCATCACAGGCCATCTCATTCTCTCTCTCTCTTCCTCTAGGTCTCACTGGGATGCTAGGTTTGGGCATTGTGGCCCCCAATCTAGCCTTTTCTCAGATGGTGACCACTTTTGGCCTGGCTGGCATTATTGGTTACCACACTGTCTGGGGTGTGACCCCTGCTCTCCACTCACCACTGATGTCTGTGACCAATGCCATCTCAGGTTTGTCCTTCGCTTCTTTCCACCTCTTAGGTTGTATTGGCCTTGTCAGCTCTAGGAGGAGTTTCAATGAACTTCATAAAGTTCAGTTTCAAAGCATGAACCCTGGTGTCTACAGCAGCCACTGCAGTGACCTGGGGGCTCCCAGGGGTGAGTGGGCTTATCAAGGAGGATGTCGTAGAATGTGTTGACCCTTCCTGCATTCCTATTTCCAACAGTGTGGGTCCATTAATATTTCTTTCAATTATCATGTACTTTAAGGAAAGGATTCCACTGTTGAAATGTAAAACCAGAGCATGTTTCACAGAATCAGTTACAACAACCTTTAGGATCTCAGAATCAACTAAACATTGAATCTAGCAATTCAAGGCTAGAGTAGGCTGTGTATGGCTTTGGTTGACTTTGATGACCAGCTTGTCAAGGAATGGTGCCAGACATCTTTGGTGAGAGTTTGCATAGCAGAACATGTAACTGCATGGAGCTGTTCTCTTTGACATCTAGGGATGGCTTAGATGTCGGGGAACGAGCCCCATCTAAGTAGCCAACATGATCAAGGGCGTGATTCTCTCTTGGAATGCCCTAGGCATAGCACCTAGGATTTTTTGCAGGGAGCACGTCCAGTTTCAAAATGTGCTATATACTGGAAAGCTCAAATTGGTGGCAACCTCATCAATATCTATTGACCATGATTAGTTCCTTCTGGTTTGGTTTCAGGGTATCTTTCACAGTCACATTTCCTTATAAGCAGTGCTCTAGTGACTTTGCTGACTTGTCACTCTGAGAACACAGCTAGAGAGCTGAAGGTCAGATCCTTTTTTTTTTTTTTTTTTTTTTTTTATTGGATGATTTATTTACATTTCCTATGTTGTCCCCTTACCCCATCCCCCACCACCCCCTCGGAACCTCCAATCCCCTCGCCCCTCCTCCTTCTTCTCTGTGGATGTAACCTCTATCTACACCCCCCCCCCACTCCCACCTCCCCACCCTCAAAATTCCCACCCCCTGGGGCATCCAGCCTTCATGAGGTCAAGGTTCTCTTCTTCCACCTATGCCCAGCAGGGCCCTCCACTTTTACATATTCAGCTGAAGCCCTGGATTCCCCCCTAAGTGCTCCCAGGCTGGTGGTTTAGACCCTGGGAGCTGTGGTTGGTTGGTATTGTTGCTCTCCTCATGGTGCCACAAACCCTTTCAGCTCCTTCAGTCTTCACTCTAACTCCTCCATTGAGAACCCCATGATCAGTTCAATGGCTAGTTGTGAGCATCTGCCTCTGAATATGTCTGACTCTTGAAGGCCTCTGAGGAGATATCCATATCAGGCTCTTATCAGCATGCACTTCCTGTCTTCCACATCAGCATCTACCTTTGGTGATTGCACATGGGATAGATACTCAGGTGGGGTGGTCTTGAGACGGCCCCTCCTTCAGTTTCTGTCCCTCACTTTGTCTCCATATTTGCTCCCTTGAGTATTTTGTTGCTCCTTCTAAGAAGGACCGAATCACCCTCACTTGGTCTTCCTTCTTTATGGGCTTCATGTGGCCTGTGAGTTGCATCTTGGGCATTTCAAGGTTCTAGGCTAATATCCAATAATCAGTGAGTGAATACCATGTGTCTTCTTTTGTGATTGGCTTACCTCACTCAGGATGATAATTTCTAGTTCCATCCATTTACCTAGGAACCTCTCGAATTCATTGTTTTTAATAGCTGAGTAATACTCCATTGTGTAAATATACCACATTTTTTGAATCCATTCCTCAGTTGAAGGACATCTGGGTTCTTTCCAGCTCCTGGCTATTATAAATAAGGCTGCTATGAACATAGTTGAGCATATGTCCTTGTTATATGTTCGAGCATCTTCTGGGTATATGCCTAGGAGTGGTATAGCTGGATCCTCGGGTAATGCTATGTCCAATTTTCTGAGGAACCGCCAGACTGATTTCCAAAGTGGTTGCACCATCTTGCAGTCCCACCAACAATGGAGGAGTGTTCCTCTTTCTCCACACCCTCGCCAGCATCTACTATCACCTGAGTTTTTAATCTTAGCCATTCTGACTGGTGTGAGATGGAATCTCAGGGTTGTTTTGATTTGCATTTCCCTGACGACTAAGGATGCTGAACATTTCTTTAGATGCTTCTCGGCCATTCGAGTTTCTTCCGTTGAAAATTCTTTGTTAAGCTCTATACCCCATTTTTTAATAGGGTAATTTGGTTGTCTGGAGTCTAATTTCTTGAGTTCTTTGTATATATTGGATATTAGCCCTCTATCAGATGAAGGATTGGTAAAGATCTTTTCCCAATTTGTTGGTTGTCGTTTTGTCCTATTGACAGTGTCCTTTGCCTTACAGAAACTTTGCAATTTTATGAAGTCCCATTTGTCAATTCTCGATCTTAGAGCATATGCCATTGGAGTTCTGTTCAGGAACTTTTCCCCTGTGCCCAAGTATTCGAGGCTTTTCCCCACCTTCTCTTCTATTAGTTTCAGTGTATCTGGTTTTATGTGGAGGTCCTTTATCCACATAGACTTGAGCTTTGTACAAGGAGATAAGAATGGATCAATTTTCATTCTTCTACATGTTGTCTTCCAGTTGAACCAGCACCATTTGTTGAAAATGCTGTCCTTTTTCCACTGGACAGTTTTAGCTCCTTTGTCAAAGATCAAGTGACCATAGGAGTGTGGGTTCATTTCTGGGTCTTCAATTCTATTCCATTGATCTTCCTGCCTGTCTCTGTACCAATACCAGGTAGTTTTTATCACTATTGCTCTGTAGTACAGCTTGAGGTCAGGGATGGTAATTCCTCCAGAAGTTCTTTTATTGTTGAGAATAGTTTTCGCTATCCTGGGTTTTTTGTTATTCCATATGAATTTGAGAATTTCCTTTTCTAACTCTGTGAAGAATTGAGTTGGGATTTTAATGGGGATTGCATTGAATCTGTAGATTGCTTTTGGCAAGATGGCCATTTTTATTATATTAATCCTGCCAATCCATGAGCATGGGAGATCTTTCCATCTTCTGAGATCTTCTTCAATTTCTTTCTTCAGAGACTTGAAGTTCTTGTCATACAGGTCTTTCACTTGCTTGGTTAGATTCACACCAAGGTATTTTATATTATTTGCAACTATTGTGAAAGGTGTCATTTCCCTAATTTCTTTTTCAGTCTGTTTATCTTTCATGTAGAGGAAGGCTACTGATTTGTTTGAGTTGATTTTATAACCAGCCACTTTGCTGAAGTTGTTTATCAGGTTTAGGAGTTCTCTGGTGGAAGTTTGGGGGTCACTTAAGTATACTATCATATCATCTGCAAATAGCGATATTTTGACTTCTTCCTTTCCTATTTGTATCCCTTTGACTTCTTTTTGCTGTCTAATTGCTCTGGCTAAGACTTCCAGTACTATATTGAATAGGTAGGGGGAGAGTGGGCAACCTTGTCTAGTCCCTGATCTTAGTGGGATTGCTTCAAGTTTCTCTCCATTTAGCTTGATGTTGGCTACTGGTTTGCTGTAAATTGCTTTTACTATGTTTAGGTAGGGGCCTTGAATTCCTGATCTTTCCAAGACTTTTATCATGAAGGGATGTTGAATTTTGTCAAATGCTTTCTCAGCATCTAGTGAGATGATCATGTGGTTTTTTTCTTTAAGTTTGTTTATATAGTGGATTACATTGATGGATTTCCGAATATTGAACCATCCCTGCATTCCTGGGATAAAACCTACTTGATCATGATGGATGATTGTTTTGATGTGGTCTTGGATTCGGTTTGCTAGAATTTTATTGAGTATTTTTGCATCGATGTTCATAAGGGAGATTGGTCTGAAGTTCTCTTTCTTTGTCGGGTCCTTGTGGGGTTTGGGTATGAGTGTAATTGTAGCTTCATAGAACGAATTGGGTAGTGTTCCTTCTGTCTCTATTTTGTGGAATAGTTTGAAGAGAATTGGTATTAGGTCTTCCTTGAAGGTCTGATAGAATTCAGCACTAAAACCATCTGGTCCTGGGCTTTTTTTAGTGGGGAGGCTTTTGATGACTGCTGCTATTTCCTGAGGGGTTATGGGACTATTTAGATGGTTTATCTGCTCCTGGTTTAACTTCGGTACCTGGTATCTGTCTAGGAAATTGTCCATTTCATCCAGGTTTTCCAGTTTTGTTGAGTATAGGCCTTTGTAGTAGGATCTGATGATTTTTTGAATTTCTTCAGTTTCTGTTGTTATGTCTCCCTTTTCAGTTCTGATTTTATTAATTTGGATACTGTCTCTGTGCCCTCTGGTTAATCTGGCTAATGGTTTATCTATCTTGTTGATTTTCTCAAAGAACCAACTCCTGGTCTTATTGATATTTTGTATTGTTCTTTCTGTTTCTACTTGGTTGATTTCAGCCCTGAGTTTGATTATTTCCTGCCTTCTACTCCTCCTGGGTGTATTTGCTTCTTTTTGTTCTAGAGCTTTTAGTTGTGCAGTCAACTTGTTAGTGTGTGCTCTTTCCAGTTTCTTTTTGTAGGCACTTAGAGCTATGAGCTTTCCTCTTAGCACTGCCTTCATGGAGTCCCACAAGTTTTGGTATGATGTGTCCTCATTTTCATTGAATTCTAAAAAGTCTTTTATTTCTTTCTTTATTTCTTCCTTGACCAAGTCATCATTGAGTAGAGAGTTGTTCAGTTTCCATGTGTACGTGGGTTTTCCATTGTTTTTGTCATTATTAAAGACCAGTCTTAGTCCGTGGTGATCTGATAAGATGCAAGGGATTATTTCAATCTTTTTGTATCTGTAGAGGCTTGTTTTGTGACCAATTATATGGTCTATTTTGGAGAAGGTACCATGAGGTGCTGAGAAAAAGGTATATTCTTTTGTTTTAGGATGAAATGTTCTATAGATGTCTGTTAAGTCCATTTGGTTCATAACTTCTGTTAATTTCAAAGTGTCTCTGTTTAGTTTCTGTTTCCATGATCTGTCCATTGCTGACAGTGGGGTGTTGAAATCCCCCACTATTATTGTGTGAGGTGTAATGTGTGTTTTGAGCTTTAGTAAAGTTTCTTTTATGTATGTAGGTGCCCTTGCATTTGGAGCATAGATGTTCAGAATTGAGAGTTCACCTTGGTAGATTTTTCCTTTGATGAGTATGAAGTGTCCTTCCTTATCTTTTTTGATTAATTTTGGATGAAAGTCGATTTTATTTGATATTAGAATGGCTACTCCAGCTTGTTTCTTGGGACCATTGGCTTGAAAAATTGTTTTCCACCCTTTTATTCTGAGGTAGTGTCTGTCTTTGTCACTGAGGTGCGTTTCTTGTATGCAGCAAAATTCTGGGTCTTGTTTGTGTATCCAGTCTGATAGTCTGCGTCTTTTTATTGGGGAATTGAGACCATTGATGTTAAGAGATATTAAGGAAAAATGATTGTTGCTTCCTGTTATTTTTTTTATTAGAGGTAAAGTTATGTTTGTATCTTTTTTGGGGGTTGTTGGAGGATTACTTACTTGCTTTTCCTAGGTTGTAGTTTCCCTCCTTGTGTTGGCATTTTCCATCAATTATCCTTTGAAGTGCTGGGTTTGTGGGAAGATATTGTGCAAATTTGGTTTTGTCATGGAATATCTTGGTTTCACCATCTATAGTGATTGAGAGTTTTGCTGGGTATAGTAATCTGGGCTGGCAATTATGTTCTCTTAGTGTCTGTATGATGTCCGTCCAGGCTCTTCTGGCTTTTATAGTCTCTGGTGAGAAGTCTGGTGTAATTCTTATAGGTCTGCCTTTATATGTTACTTGACCTTTTTCCCTTACTGCTTTTAGTATTTTTTCTTTGTTTTGTGCGTCTGATGTTTTGATTATTATGTGACGGGAGGTATTTCTTTTCTGGTCTAGTCTATTTGGTGTTCTGTAGGCTTCTTGTATGTTTATGGGCATCTTGTTCTTTAGGTTAGGGAAGTTTTCCTCAATAATTTTGTTGAAGATATTTACTGGCCCTTTAAGTTGGGAATCTTCATTCTCATCTATACCTATTATCCTTAGGTTTGGTCTTCTCATTGTGTCCTGGATTTCCTGGATGTTTTGAGTTAGGAGTTTTTTGCGTTTTGCATTTTCTTTGACAACTGTGTCAATATTTTCCACCGTATCTTCTGCATTTGAGATTCTCTCTTCTATCTCTTGTATTCGGTTGGTGATGCTTGCGTCTGTGACTCCTGATCTCTTTCTTAGGTTTTCTATCTCCATGGTTGTCTCCCTTTGAACTTTCTTTATTGTTTCTATTTCTAGTTTCAGGTCCTGAATGTTTTTGTTTAACTCCTTCTTTGTGTTTTCTTCCATTTCTTTAAGGGATTTCTGTGATTCCTCTTTAAGGGCTTCTATCTGTTTACTTGTACTCTCCTGTATTTCTTTAAGGGAGTTACTTAATTCTGAAGGTCAGATCCTTATACCAAAGGAAGCAAGGTGTGTTCACCTTTCCCCATGAGAGTACTTCAAGTAAGAAAGATGCGCAGGCGCATTGTCCATGGTTTTGATCAGGAAGGTTGCTCTTCCCATTTTAATGAAGTTGTAAGAAGGCTGCCGTGTCTTTGGATATTGGATCCTGATGTGACAAACGTTTTGTTTTCACATTGGATCTGGAGAGGTTACTGTACTTTTTTTTTTTTTTTTTATCATGGTGATGTTTTCTTTCTAGGTTTGACTGCGGTTGGCGGGCTGGCATTGATGGGAGGGCATTTTTATCCCACCACAACTTCCCAGAGTCTTGCTGCTCTTGCTACATTCATATCGTCAGTCAACATTGCAGGTAGGAGGAAGAAGAGGAGAAGGAGGAGGAGAAGGGGGAGGAGGGGGATCAGAAGGGGAAGGAGGGGAAGGAGGAGGAGAAGAGGGAGGAGGAGGAGGGGGAGGAGGAAGAGGACGGGACGAGGAGAAGGAGGGAGAAGAAGAGGAGGAAGAGTAGGGGGAGGAGGAGGAGGAGGGGGAGGAGAGAACTCAGACTGCTGTTTTTGGCAAAGACATAGGAAGCAAATATCAAGTCATATAAAGCAGACTTGCTGAGTTTAAGAATTTAACTGTCCCTTTAAAAATGACTTCTCTCAGACCACAAATGTTCCTTTTGAAGGAAAGTCAACTATCTTGCCTATCTGTAATGGTTAGAAACTGTATTGATAAAGAACCGATCCCTCCATACCCCCAGCTACACAGTGATGTCCTGCTAGAAGCTAACTGGAAGGTTGTGGAATGCACAGTTTCGGATAACGTTGACTTCCGCTGTCACCGTGACGTCTGTAAATGAGTACAACTGCAGATAAGGTTTTAGTCTATTGCCTTATCACGACTGTTGTGTCTTCCCAAAAACTGAGAGGCTAGCACATCACTCATCTATGACATTCATCTGATGCTATTTTATAGCTAAAAATTCCTTAGTGGGTCCAAGGGACCTGGTGACTGTTGATACAGTATGTGTTCTGTATCATTTGTTACAGAGTTAGATAAACAGAGTAACCTATCAGAGAAAAATGCTGACCTTTGACCCTTTGTATTTTCAAGCTTTTAAATGGCTATTTGCTTTTAGTCATGCAGAAACAGTTGGCCCTACATTCTGATAGCAAGTTTTCTTCCTAACTGTGGTGAGGGTTCCCCATACTTCATCCATCCTAAGGGAAGTGGCTTTAATCATAGGGTGCCTTTTTACTTTTGAGGTTCAAACTATTACTTGAAATAATAATATCACTTTGTGATACTTGGTGATAAAAATATACTTAAAATAAAGATATTGTAGCGTATAAAAACAAAGTCATGCTGTCTGACGCGACACCTCTTGCCTGTTTCTGCTTCTCTTGCTTCGCTAAGGCGGTTTTCTGGTGACTCAGAGAATGTTGGACATGTTCAAGCGGCCCACGGATCCTCCAGAATACAATTACCTGTATCTGCTGCCTGGTGGCACCTTTGTGGGTGGATATTTGGCTGCTCTCTATGGTGGCTATAACATCGAAGAAGTAAGAGATCTTTGACAGTTTTCATTTCTACCAGTGTGTCTTTATCCCTTTTAGAATTAATGTCGCTAGCAGAATTCAGAGTATCAAGAAAATGTGACTCCGTCAGCAAATACACGGGTGACCCGGAAACACCCTGTTCGAAACAGACCATCCAGGTGTCCTAAGGATGAGGAGCTGATGGAGGCTTATTTGTTAGTTTTTAAGGTTTTCACATGCAGAAAGACCATTCGTGCCTTCCTTGTGTGCCTGGGTGGATTGTTGTAAGGAGACAGTAGAGTAACCAGTTATCAATTTGAAAATGTTTATACTTCCCTTCTCTACAAATATATCACAACCGCTGCTTGTTAACAAAAGACATTATGCAATACACTTATGACAATATAGAATTTAACATTTTTATGTTGTAGGGCAGTGGTTCTCAACCTTCCTCGTGCTGTGACCCTCTAATACTGTTCCTCATTTTGTGGTGACACCCCCCAACCATAAAATGATTTTCATTGCTACTTCATAACTGTAATTTTGCTACTATTATGAACTATAATGTAAATATCTCTGTTTTCTGATGGTGTTAGGTGACTCCAGTGGGTCCTTTGACCCCCAAAGGCGTCACAACCCATAGGTTGAGAACAACTGTTGTAGGAGGTAGGGAGATAGGCCAGTTGGTAAGAACACTTGCTGTACAAACATGAAGTCATACATTTGATCCACAAAACCTGTGTAGAAAGCACTGGGCGTGCTACTGTAATCCTACCACTGGGGAGGCAGAGACAAGCAGATCCCTGGGGTTTGATGGCCAGGAGGAATAGCTAACATGAAAGTGAAAAAAGCGCTGTTTCAAAGAACAAAGCAGAATGGCAGAAAGGATACAGAGGTTGTCTTCTGACCTCCACGCGTAAACAGACATACGCACACACGGTCTTATGCTGTACCATAAGAAAGGAATAATTAGATTTGAACTTAGAAAGTTCTTAGTGAAACGAGCTGAGGCTTTTCTGTGAGTTTTGCATTTTACGTTGCTTTCCAGTGAATGCCACTGGAGCTCAACTTGTCTGACGGCATTTAAAAAAAAAAAAATTCCGTCTTTCTTGGTGTCTTCTGGGCTCCCAGTGTGGAGTATTACCAGAGTGGCAAGGTGTTTCTTGAGGAGAGTTGAAGCTAGAAGTCTAAAACTCGAATCTGAACTTCAGATTTTCTGCTTTCTGATTTTATCTTGGGGCAGTTATGTAACCCCTAACGCTTCACTTAATCCTTTTATAAGTGAGGACAGTGGGTTTTCCTCACGCGGCTTTCATGAGACTGTTAGGGTATAAGTAAGGCCTCTACACGATTCATGGCACCAGTGACGTGGATTGGCTATTTTATAACATTAAGACATGTTTACTGTTTTCAAATCTAACAGCACTTAAATTTAGGTTTATATATATATAAATATGTATGTATATATATATATATATATATATATATATATATATATATATATATGCTATCAAATCCAGAAGACAACCAGTCTGTGTAAATGGCATAATTCTAAGTACAATATAAAGTATGTAATGTTTTTATTTTCCTAATGGATAGGAAAATCTTTTGAAGTGTTACAGAAGAATTCAGGTCTGTCAACTGTCTGAATTTAAATTGTCCTTAGAGAGTCATGTTCCACAAGGGAAACCTTCCCTGAGCCAACCGACCAAAGCTTTTTAAAAATAATCTCTTTCTCTTCTTTCCTTTGCAAAGATCATGTACCTGGGCTCAGGCTTGTGTTGCGTTGGGGCCCTGGGCGGCCTTTCCACTCAGGGAACAGCTCGACTCGGCAATGCCTTGGGCATGATTGGGGTTGCAGGAGGCCTGGCAGCCACCCTTGGAGGCCTGAAGCCGGACCCACAGCTGTTAGCTCAGATGTCTGGAGCAATGGCGATGGGCGGCACCATCGGTGAGTGCTTGTGGACTTCAGTCTTCTTATGCACTCAATGTCCTTCATGTGTCTGAAGAGAGTTAGGCTCGGAGACCCAGGTCTGAAGAGTTCTTTAGCACTGAGGGTTTAATTTGAGGAATGAATCGTTAGGAAGATTCCTCCTAGGGTCAGCTTATTCTTACTCAGATACAACATTTTAGAACATGGAGAAGTGTGTCAACTGAGTTAGAGCGTGGGATTAAAAAAAATCCCAAGTGGTGTGAAGTTTATTTTCTTTTACTGATTGTATCCAGCATTACTGATTATAGGATGGGGAATGGGATACTTACTTGCAGTCTCTTTTTTTTCTCTTTATTTCTGCTGATTATAAATTTCAGTAGAAGACTCCGTCCTTAAATGTTAAACTTTCAAACAACATGTGACTGAGTAAAAAACAAAACACTGTTTTAATCTTCTCTACTGTTAAGTCAAGTAGAGTGTCTTCTCTATGTTGGAGCTTTTGTCAAATTTTCAATAGTTTCCTGAGCTCGTTTTAAAATAGAATCATTACTAAAACTTAAACAAGCCAGGTGGTGGTGGTAGTGGTGGTTCATGCCTTTCGTCCCAGCACTCGAGAGGCAGAGGCAGATAGATCTTTGCGAGTTTGAGGCGAGCCTGATCTACAGAGTGAGTTCCAGGGTGGCTAGGGCTCCAAAGAGAAACCCTGTCTCAGAAAACCAAAAACCAAACCAAGACAAAACAAAAACCTCCAAACTTAAATTACATCAGAAACAAAGGTAATGCTAGTAACATATATGCCCTTTTCTAATTAATGTGCTAGACTTTTTAATCTGTTCTTGAGGTCATTTATGTGTCTTGTATGCTTATGGTAGAAGTTCTATGTAACAGCAGGCTGTTAGAATTTCTCCAATCCCCGTTGACTGACATAAAATTGGCAGCTTGAAATTGTTCTTGGTGCAAGTATGGACAGACCTAAGGAAGTGATGGAAAAAACTTCAATATAGCTTAAGCTTAAAATATGACTATGGTTATTACATTGTGATTTGCACAGAAGTAAACACATATTCTTCTTGGAGACTGTTACCATAGTAACAAAGTCCCCCCACACAGTGGTCACAGGGGCAGAGTTCTCACTTGCATCTTAGGGTTCATACCAGAGACATAGCTTTTCTTTCATTATACCTCTAAATATAAATAATATATTTACTGACCTTTATGTGGGAAGTGTGTTTATTGGTTGAAAATTCTAGGTTTGCTACAGGTATGGGAGCTTAGCAAAAGTTAAAGTCATGCTATGAAAAGTCAGTAGTCTTTTTGGAACTTGGAATAAAGAATACTGCATATGTTGCGGCTGGAGAACTGGTGCAGTGGTTAGGAGTTCATTCTGCTCTTCCAGAGGATCTGAGTTCAGTTCCTAGCACCCATATTAGGCAGCTCACAATCACCTGTAACTCTAGGTTCAGGGGATCTGATGCCATCTTCCAGTCTTCATAAGTAACCCATCCATTGTATATTTTATTACTTGAAAGTTCTATCCTTCCCCTTTATGTAAACTCGTATATGCACCTCTGCTCCTGTGATCTGGTTGCTACATATTTCCCAGTAGAACATTTGCTTTAGGCTGCCTTTTATACTTCCTCTGGGAAGCTGTGAGTCCTTTGGTCCCCTGAGAAAGAAAATAGTTATTGTCTGTATGTTCCTGGTGGGAAACTGCTTACCTGTGTTCAACAAGTGTTCAAACCTCCACTCCTTCTATCTCCTTACTACCTCTGTGAAATCCCTTCAGAATTAGGGAATTTATCTCTACTTATCTGACACCCAAGCTTAATTTTGTTTTCCCCAAAATCCCATCAGTTAGTGATGGGCATAGGTGTAAGCACTGGCCAAAGAGAGCGTGGGATAGCCACTCAGTGTGGGCGTCTAAGTCATGAGGACTTACAAGGATACATAGCTGGAGCTTTAAGCAGCCTTCGTAAGCTTTTGTCTCAGGGTGAGGCGTGCACTGATGCCTCTGTTATTTGATGTCAGTTAGATGAGGCGAGAAAAGGAGCTATTTTGACACGATATGCATGTAGTCAGTATTTTTCCTTCCACACTGTCCTTGTAGGAGTATTTAGTCCATGCTGGAAACCAGGTAATGTTCATTTGTGACAGCGATGTAAACTCTGTTTTTATGCTTTGACCTTTGTGTTCTCCAACAGGACTGGGCATCGCCAAGCGGATCCAGATCTCTGACCTGCCTCAGCTGGTCGCTGCCTTCCACAGTTTAGTGGGTCTGGCAGCAGTGCTTACTTGCATGGCTGAGTACATTGTAGAGTATCCACATTTTGCAATGGACGCCACGTCAAATTTCACCAAGATTGTGGCTTACCTTGGCACTTACATTGGAGGAGTCACCTTTAGTGGGTCTCTTGTTGCCTACGGAAAATTACAGGGTAAGTAATTACAGGGTAAGTGATATAATGTATAGGGAAATATCTATTTTTCAGAGTATCCATGGGTCTGTTTCAATTTTAGAAAACCCCTTCAGAGTAGAGACCTTCAGGAGAAGTGATTTGTATAGCACTCAGACACATGCAAAAGATTTTCCCCTCAAAAAGGTGATTCATCTTAATTCTTAGAGGATCTAAGCTTTGTGACAGTTTCTTCTGCAGGCAGGTAATAATAGAAATTAGTACACAAAAATTTGTAGACATTAATAGACGTTTGATAATATGTATGAACAAAATAACAACTCTGCACCCTTTGTTCAGAGATGACTATATATTGTCTGCAGAAATGAACCTGTGTTTCCTAGGGTAGAGACACACTAACTGGATGACTTTGGTTAACAAAACTTATTCTGAAAACCAGCGTGCGCTTTAGCACTTTGCCATGGCAAATTTCGCTACTGCAGTGTGGAATCATGAAAATGGAAGCTGAGGCAACAAAATCCAGAGAGCCTCTGTGCAGTGCGCTCACAAACGAGTCCCTAGAGAGACTCGTTTATGATGTAAAAATAAGTTTTTGCCTCTGACTATTAAGTTATTAAATGGGGGAAACTTTCATTAAGCTTAAAAAAATCACAAATGAACTTCAAGTCTAAGACATTCTTGTCTTGGGCTTTTTCTTTAGAAAAAGCGAACAAGGGTTCTCCCTGGGGTTCAGTTGATAGCATTGGAAATGCTAATGTCCCAGAACTCTGTATTGAAGTTGTAAATAAACAAAACCATACTTGACAACTTTTGCGTTGGTCATACAGGGAAAAAAAAATCAATTTTTAAGATTCCATGACAAAGTATGTGACAATGAAGGAAAAATGCAGTTAAGTCGAACCATATTTTCCTGTCTCTGCTAATTTTTTTTTCATTATTTAGAGAATATTAGTTTTTCTAATCAAACCTATGTAGATAAGGCATTACATATTTAATACAGTGTGATACCCCTGTACAAATGGGAAAAAATTAAGTTTAACATTTCTAGACCAATATGACTGTTAATTTCTGTACAATGCCAACTCGACACAGTAAACTGGGGTACTTTTTTCCAAAGTGGACAGCACAGCTAAAGTTTCCAAAAATTCAAATTATATATGTATATGTATATTTATATAAAAAGATCGATAACAGCAGTGTGTTATGAATCAATAGCAGCAGCAGCAGCTTTCCCAGGTTCTGCAATCATTTGAACAAAATTTGAGAGACATCCAGCACACTCCATTAAAAAAAGAAAAAGCAAAAAACAAAACCCCAGAAAACAGTCCGCTTATATTTTACATGCAGAACTCTTAACATGCCTTAATGTTTCATATCTGGTGTTAGAAAATGATATGTGAGGTACTATACTATTATCCTGATGTTACATTTTGGTAATTTAGGATTAAGTGACATGTGGGGTTTCCCACAGCACGCTCTAGGCTCTGACTACCATCTGCTTTGGCCCAGGTATTCTGAAGTCAGCCCCTCTGCTGCTCCCCGGAAGGCACGCACTCAATGCAGGCTTGCTGGCCGCTAGTGTGGGTGGAATAATCCCATTTATGGCTGACCCTAGCTTTACCACGGGCATCACCTGTCTGGGCTCTGTGTCCGCACTCTCTACTCTCATGGTAAGTCTGAGGAGATGGAGAAGTGTGTACTGAGAGAAGAGCTTGGGAATTGTTGTTATGTTACAGTCTGGTCATGTTTCTGTTTCATCAAGGCAAGAGACATGTCGAACAATTGGCTACATGTTATTGTTTTAGAAGATAGAAAGTTAAAAAAGCGTAAGAAGAAAATCATGTTCTGTCAATTGTCTATTTAAGAGTTATCACATCTGGCACCTTTATTGCTCTGGGGTTTTCACACTGTCAACATGTTGGTGAACAGGATTTTTAAAAGCCAAGGGTTTTAACTGTTTGGTAGGCACCTACTCTGTGACAAGTCCTACAAATATTACTTTGAGATTTATATAATATGTCTAAGGTGGTGACAGCTCATAATTTGCTCTCACGTTCTTTGAAAGATATAATATGGAATTCAATAATTATGTAAAATTAGTGACAGTTAATAAAACCTGTGTATTCACTGAGAGGATCCATTTTTTTTGTGGTGAGGTTTCTCTTCCTCTCCTGTGTGACTTTTGCATATAAAACATTGATATAGAGATTTTGTCTCTGTGTTCAATTCGGGATTTTATTAGTAGAGGGTGCTATTACATGGAGTTCTGTTATTCGTTCTTGTATCACATTTTTCTAGACTGGTTTATATTTTGTAGATAGTCTTTATATATTAAGGTGAGAAAAAATATTTATAGCACAGAGTTAGCTGTCTAGTCATTTCTTATCAAATATTGACCCTGGTTCAGAAACACATGGTCTGTAGTATGCAGATGAAACTCATTCATGAAGTATCACACAGTTAGGCCATGGCTTCAGTCCAGACACTTTAGGACACTGAAGAATGATTTGAAATTCTCTTTGTGTGCCTTTGAGTCCAGCTTCCTCTATCTTCTCTGGTGATGGTTGCTTTGTTTTATTTTAAATGAATGAAAATAATTTTTACATTTCTAATCTAATCAAGTAGAAGACCCTATAATCAAACTTATAATATAGAAATTTAAAATGTAAAGAATCATCAGTTTGGAGAAATGATGACTATATTTTAAAGGAATTTATAGCCAATATGAAAATATTCCCATAACCCAAAAGATACTCTTAATTGCTTTTTGGCTTATATACTCACGTAGAAACAAAGAACAAAAATGGAGGGGTGTGTAGAATGAGTAGCAAAAATCCCCCCCATCCTTTTTTTTTTTTTAAGATGTATTGGATTTTGTTGTATTTATCTCAAATATTGATAACCATTTATAATTTAATTTCTTAATGTTATTTTTGTTTTGGAGCAGCTAACTTGCTTAAAGTGAAGTTCTCGTATAGACTAACAACTGAAACCCATTGTTATTTTAGCCTTAACCGAATCGCTTGGCCCCTGACCCACGGTTTAAGTATTATCCGGAGATTTGGGTAGTGTTTATAGATAGCATTCGGGGCTCCTTCAAATCATCCTAGCCCGCTCCTTTGTAGCATTTTTCTTTTTCACTTTCCAGCTGTCTTTGTCACCAAATCCATGTCCTGTGGAACATCAAACAAGTAAGCCTGAGGACTGATGGCCTTAGCTCTGTGTCCTTCACTTGATAGCAGCAGGGTCCTGACTTCAGACTAAAGCCATCAGGAGCTGGGTCTATTAAGACCCTCATTGGTATATTTCCTTTTCCCAAGGGAGACTTCTTTCCAGTTTCTACCAGTTCTCATCCCTCGTTTTATTTAGGCAATTTTTGGGTCCGGTGACTAAATGTTTACAGTTGCTATGTCCACGAGAGTTGATCATAGGGAGACTTGGTCATCACCAAGAACGTATATGGATAGGTATTACGAAGTTAGAATGTTTAAGAACCAAGATGTCGAACGTTAGAGGCTTGATGGCATGTGCTCACGTCGGGTTCACCTTTATTTATTTATTTTTTTTCTGGCTAGGGTGTGACTTTGACAGCTGCTATTGGCGGTGCTGACATGCCTGTCGTCATCACCGTGCTCAACAGCTACTCGGGCTGGGCTCTGTGCGCCGAGGGCTTCCTGCTCAACAACAACCTGCTGACCATCGTGGGCGCGCTCATCGGCTCCTCTGGTGCCATCTTGTCGTACATCATGTGTGTGGTAAGAAATGCACGTGCGAAAGAGAAAGGGAATGATCCAGAGACGTGGATGTGCTTGCCCCTTCTTCTGTTCCCAGTAGAAATAAAGCTATTGGTTTTCATCATTTTCAGCAGAAATATGACGGTTTTTAGTGGAAATTTCTAAGACCGCCTTAAAGATACCCAGTAAAGCTCTTCTAATGCCCTTCTCCATCTGGAGAGTAACATATAATATTTATTAGTTTAGATTTTTCTCCTGTCCTTTTTGTTTGTATAGTACTGTGTATGTGCTTGTCTGACCTTACCTATTTTTCAATTCAGAATCCTTTTTGTCTTTCTGTGGTGTGAGACAGGCTCCTGTTTGATAGCCCTGGCTGGCCTTGCATTTGGGTGGCTGGCCTTGCATTTGGGATTGGAACCCTCAGTCCTCCCTGCTTTAGTGCTAGGATTACAGGACTGGAGGCTGATGTGCTGTACCTAGCTTTCACTTAAGTTTTAGAATATTACATGCTATAGTCTTGTCTTTTTAATCATGAAAGGCCCTGCCTCTAAAATCTTATTTAAGGAGCTTTATGGTAATCTGCCATGTGAATATACACAGTTGATTTAATTTTTCCCAGTACTTCACAGTTTAGGTTGACTTTTTTATTTATCCCTGTGCATAGCACAACTTTGACATTTTTCATGTGCTTCGAAAATTTTTACTCTTCGAAAATTTCATTTCTCTATTTATATGTATTTTGATGAAATTCACCCCTCCTGATGGGTGTGGTAGCACATGCTTTTAATCCAACTGTTTGGGAGGAGGCAGTGGGAGCTGGGGCAGGGCACTCAGTTTGAGGCCCACCTGGCCAGGGTTACACAGTGAGACCTTTGTCTCAAAAAGAAAAAAAAAATCTACCTCCATCAGCCTTTTCTTCATTGAACCCAAATTGCCTTAACCACTGCTTCTTCCCAACTTCATGTGCTTTTATTTTCAATTTTAATCTCTCCTCCTCCCCCCCACCCCCACACTAAGTTCACTTAGTGTTCATGGGTGCAGGGCAATCTGCCAGAGCATGGATAGCCTCTCTGGGACTACAGTTCTCTCTCTGAGTCCCTGAGAGGCCATCAGTTCCCAGTAGTTCCTCAGCTAGGGGTGGGACTTGATGCTCTCTATCTGTGCATTTTCAATTTTTTCTCTTCTCTTCTCTTCTCTTCTCTTCTCTTCTCTTCTCTTCTCTT